AATAGAACACTGCAACAAATATATTAAAACTGTATTAAATACCAGGTGGAATATATTGCTCTTGGATAGAAGTAAATACCTTCGTCTTAACAATTACAAACGTTGCAATATGACGAATATGTTACACATACAATACGCTTGCAACACACAAATGATCCGCAAGTTTAGTTATCATCAAATAGTTCTCTTCATTCGTGTTAGTAATAAGTTTGTGTATATTAAGGAGTTAGAGTTAGTCTGCTTTATGTCGAGGAGCACTAATTTTTTCGAATCGAAGTATATTTTTTAGGATATTTAAATTCATTGAAAATCTTCATGATATGAGCATGGGAAAAGATCTCTGCTTTGTCGATTTGAACTACAAGATGATAATGGTCTTCGTTTTCACAATGAATCACAATATAACAAGCACTCCTTTTATTCGACAAACTGAATCAATTTCATAAAGGCAAGTGTTTCACAATGCTCACAGTCACATCAATTTCTAGAACTTAGAAAATGATGATCAACTTTAACACTACGTCGGTAACCTGCTTCAATGTTGATGTGATTCTCAATCCATTTCAAAATGTTAGACACCTTCGTATATGCAATTGAACAAACGAACAGATCCAGTTTAAATAAAACATAATTTCCAGTGCCATTTAAGTAGCATTTTCTTTCAAGAATATCAATGGGGGGAAGGGGGGGGAGTTCCATCGCCATCGCTCTTCAGAAGATTGTAGTTGGACGCGATGTTGTCATGACGTGTTTCTGAAAAGAATCTTTTTCCTCAGATATTTAGTTTTCAATTACTTATAATTAGGATAAAAACAAAAAAGCCAAAAATTTTTCACTGTTTTCAACTAAATATTAAACGGTCATTCAGTTGCTGTTTAAGAAATAAAAACCGAGATCGATTGTTGCGGTTGGGCAATAGGCGCTTGCCGAGTGCAACACTGGTTCGTAAATGATAACGTGATTAATTCCCAGCATCGTGTAATGGGGTTTATTTTTAATGTCCGCTCCTACTGAGCGGTCGCTTCGTCAGCTCCCTCTTAACCAAAAGCCATAAGACAAGACCTTACTACACAGGAATTTTTACCTAACCA